CTTGTCTTGTAGAAGGAGATTGCATAGGCTGTACCTTGCGCATGGAGAAATTGCATGCACCTTTGTGAATGGAGCTCGGAGTGAAAAAACTGTCGAATATGGTAATGTGAAAAAAAAAATGAAAAAAAAAGAAGGGTCTACTGGCTCTGTGGGTCCCTCCAAATCCCTCCCTACAGACACTTTTGAGATAATTATGCATGATCTTGTGTGAAGCCCCGTGAAGTGCTAAAGCATCTGCCAAATAAGCATCATAGGCTCCCACCACTTACGTGACGATGACACCGTAATAGGTCTGACCATGTCGAATCAGCTATATTGGACCCCAAAAGAGATTCTTAACTTCTTACCACAACAACATTATTATCCTAAAGTGCTTACATTTTTTATTTTTTTATTTATTTTTATTTTTTTAAGTGCTTGCATTTTGAAGCTTACCGCCAAGGCCTCCGTACATTGCCCTAAATTATCAAATACCTCTCTGTAAATGTACCTGTTTGTGCGAACGCCCCCGGCGCACGATCTGCACCTGAACGTGTTTTCATGAAGGTGCACTCTGACAGAGTCACTGGGCAAATAGTTAAAAGGGGAAACTACGCGCGAGTCACAACAATGAGCTATAATTGCACTATGGGTCAAGATATACAGTTTCGAATTGCAGTTCGGGCAATGTATACAACCCAGCTTTCTGGCCAGGTAGGGTGCCCCAGGTGCAATTGCAAGCTGTATCTTGCCCCATCGTGCAATTATTACTCGTCTTTTGTGACTGTACTGAAGTTACCCCTAGTAAAAGTATGCAGGCATTAGAGGACTCAAGGTATCAAAAGCCTTCACTGTTTTCTGCTCCTGTCTGACCTGTATGTAGTCTGCCATAGGGGACAGGAGATTATGCTTTCTCCGCCCATTTGTCCCCCCACAGGGCATGACAAGTGGGGGTTGCGCTAGTATAAGTGGAACCACAAGCAGCCATGGAAACAGAGAGATAGAGAGCACCATCATCTCTGTGACTCACTGGGGTTGCTTTTCTTTGCTTTTCTTTTTTTCTCCAGGAGATGTGCTTCCTGTGGTTGCTGGGAACGCGAACACCATCGTGGACAATAAGGAGGCGGCCCCACGGGCGCTGTGTTTATGTTTTCTTTGTTTCGACCTTGCAGCTCCAGGGGAGCCCTGGGGCTGATGATATGTTCTCTGTATGTTGTGCTGAGGGCCTGAGGCTGGTGGTGGGGAGCTGCACCTCCTGGCAACTGGGCCCAATGTTCCTCTAACACTGCCTTTACATCACCATAATAATCCAGTACTCATCAGACCTCTTTGGCCCTTTTAGAGGGCTGCCTGATGTAGCATTCTCTTTACCTTCCAGGTCTCTTCTACCATCCACTTCCCAGATGAGCTAGACACCAACCCTCCTAGGCATCCACTAAGCACTTGCTAAAAGGCCTGGGGTAACTTCAGTGGAGTCACGAAAACGAGTTATAATTGCGCCATGAGGCAAGATACAGTTTGCAATTGCACTTCGGGCACCCTACCTGGCCAGAAAGTTGGTTGTATACATTGCCCGAATTGCAATTCGAAACTGTATCTTGGCCCATAATGCAATTATAACTCATTTTTGTGACTCCCGCGCAGTTTCCCCTTAGAAGGGGGTAACTTCGGTGGAGTCACGAAAACGACTTAAAAAGGGTGCGTGACATGCCGTTTTCCGATGAGCGCAGCTTTCTGTATGCTTCCACTTTTCAGCTGTTTTCGGGGATAACATGTACATTAGGATGGTCTTCCACTCTTTGCTTCTGAAGTTTGGGTCAATTTGGAACATGTCCCTGAGAGTTTTGCATGGTGCCGTGAATTAGTAGTTAGGATCTCGGTTTGCGAGTGGCGAATGGATTCCAATTGTTTGGGCTTCCCACAGGCTGTATGGTTTTGCACGGGCATTACATGCATCATTTTGAATTTTGTTCTCGGCTCCGATTGTATGTGGTAGGAATTGCAGCACCACACTACAACTCTTGCCTCTTCTCTTGGACCCGCACCGTGACTGCCTGTCTCGACTTCTTCTCTTCCTTCTTCTTTGGCCTTGCTTGCATGTGTGCCACATTTTTCCTTCTTTTTTTTTTGTGTGTGTGTTGTAATGCTATAATCTATTCGTGGGGAGCAGCATGTGCTGGGAACCGGGCCCAGTGTCCCTTATAATTGGAATACATTCAATTTGATGATTGATGAAAATTTCGGATGATTCAGGAATACTTCAGGATGATTGAGATAATAAGCTAGAGATTGATGCTGACTACTCAGAATGCTTATCTACTCAGATCTTTTCTTTTTTTTTTTTTTTTTTTTTTTTTTTTATTATTATGGGAACAAGGCTCCAATCTATTCGTGAGGAGCAACACATGCTGGGAACTGGGCCCAGCGTCCCATATGGAAATTTACATAGAATCTGGAAAAATTGAGATACCGGGGCCATTACCCGGCTTATGCTAAGAAAAAATGAGCTACTTAGAAAATTACTACGACGAAGGTCAGAAATAGGCAAAATTCCGAAAATGACTCAGAAGCCCCCCGTCAATGCTCTTTACCTCACTCCGGCAAGACTTACTGCAGCAGAGCCACCATCTCCGCTGCTGCTGTACCCTATTTCCATCCGACAAGGTAGCCCCCTCAGTAGTAGGACGTGTGGCATACTGCTTAGCCACACGAGCCCTGCAGGGCCCGTCCCGCACTTTCAGCCTAAAATCCTAGAACATAGGGCTTACAGGCCCCGGTCGTTTCAGCCTGAAACTGAAAAACGAGGGCCTGCAGGCCCTATTCCGTTTTCAGCCTATTTCAGCCTGAAACGGAGGGCCATTTTCAGGCCCTCATTGTGTTCGACCTACCTAAGACTCAGGCACAGAAACAGGGTTTCGGGAACAGGCTATTTCTGGCCTGTTCCCCACAACAGCAAGCAGGAGCTGCAGCTGCAGCCCCTGCGTCCCTTCGGCATTGGCAAGAGCAGCCTCCTGGACTGCCTCGCCTGCAGTCAGGAGGCACCCGGTAGTACATAGGAAGTTCCCATGCACTTCACGGGGAGGTAGTTGGACAGTAGGCACGAGTAGTCTTCAGGATTCGGCCGTAGCCCTCAGGAGGAGCGCTGCAGTAGTCTTCAGCGCTAGCAGTAGTCTTCAGCGCTGGGCGCCCATAGCTGTAGGTGTAGTCTTCAGCGCTGGGCGCTA